TCTTTCTTCTCTTTCTTTAAAAAAATAAAATAAAAATTGAGCGATGATGATAAGTTCATTTAAACACTTCACAATGTTTCTACACTTAAACTGAGCTCAACAAAGAAAAAAAAAGTATATATTTGATATATTTTGCACTGTTTTGCACTACAAGAAAGAAGCCTAATACTTTTTACTTGATTTGTTTATTATTTTAAAACTCTCTGGACCTAGTAGTGGGAATTTCTTAATTCACATTATATGATGGCAAAAGGACACCCTATGCTTTTTTTTATTCCTATTGCAAGTTTTATACCAAAAACATATCACAATATATATCGTTATCGCCACCCTTCACAATACATATCGTGATATGAATTTTATGCCATATTGCACATTCCTAATGTGATGTTTATTCTCTTTGCACCAGCTCTCCAGGTGTTCCACCTCTCTTTGTGGACTGATACCATTTTTAAATTTTTGTACAGCTGTGAACTGCCAATTCAAATGTTGGAATATTTTTAATTATTCTTTTGTTGCATCAGTGGATACAATGCTGCAGCAGTATAGTTTTTGTGGTTCAGTTAGTGAAAGCTTGATTTACACTGGGTTACAGCTTTCATTCAACACTGCAGCTCAGTACCATAATGATCACTGTTTGACTTCAGAAAATTAAATTAACTGTAAAGCAGGTGGTAACCAGAGATAAAGGCTAGTACAGAAATCACCTACATTTTATCAGAGAAACAAAGTCCTGCTGGATTCTATTGACAGCTGAATTAAATTAATTAATTTAATTAAATTAAGTAGACAGTCTGAAATTTTGAACCTCTGTTGTTTAGTAAGTATTTTAGTGTTGTTGTTGTTTTGTCTGGATAACCTACTGTATAGTTACGTTTACAGGAAAAACATTAATTTATCATGTGGAAAAATATGAACATGTTAAATATTTTTAAATTTTTAAACATATTCTTAAGTGAATACTTGTGAAGTTCAGACAGCTTTTATTGCAAATTCATATATTTTACATAAATCAATGTTAATTAACATCTCCTGGTGCTGCTCAAGAGTCCAGGTAGATAAATCTAACCATGTTGAGTCAGGTCCTGTGGACAGATTCTTCTTGTTGAAACATTTAATCTTTTATCCAAAAGACTTCTTCAGTCTGAGGAGCTGCATCAAACTCAAGGGCCCGGTATACTGCATTAGAAGTCCAACATTCGATGAACATGAACAGAACATGGCTGCAGGACATTTATTTTTGCACAAGACTTTCATTGTCAGTGAGACACAGACACAGATCTCTTGGGAACCTCCTGCTGCAGAGTACATCTCCACTTCGTCCCTGCATCCACAGTTTGGTCACAAATCTGTCATGAAGAGAGCACCACATGTTTCAGCAGACAGACTCCTCCATACATGATGTCTGTGTGATCTCCATCCAGGAGTTTTTGACCATTTGACTGAGTTAGTGAGTTTGAAGAGTCGTACAGCACATTTCCACATTGATGAACACGTCCATAAACTTCTGACCAATCACACAATACTTGGTGGATACTCCTGTGAGAAAAAGTTCATCCTGGGCCTTATGTTGAGAAGAAGCTGCTCTGAGAACAAAATGACCTGATTTTTATCAGATAACTATGTCAATGAAGAGCTGATTTCATCGATTCACATGGAGCATGCAGGACCCTTCACTCATAAAAACCACCTTCTCATAGTGGATCAACCAGTGCGGTGGTGACATCCCGCCCCCTTAAAAGGGAGGGGGAGCCATTTGTAAGCCCATTTTGGATTTTTATTACCTTTCCTGCACATTTTGTTTTTTTATCCTTTCCTTTATGTGTGTTGTTTCTTTTTTGTGCAACCCCCCAAAAAAACTACCTGTTCACATGTATAAAGGAGGACCATCAGCTTAGCGACTGATCGTTAGTGCCCTGATGATCACATTATTCACAGAGGGCTGAGTGATACTAGCAATAACACCATAAGAGGGGGACAGTTGGAGGCTCCGCTCTTGTTTAATGATGGATGGTTTCTTTTTACAAAGATGGCCTCCTTCACTCCTCTCTCAAACCACTGTTCCTCTCCATCAAGGATGTGAACATCTTCATTCCTGGAAGAATGGCCTCTGGCCTGGAGGAGTGTAGACCACAGAGTCCTGGCCTGATGATGTTGCTCTTCTGTGTTGGGCCATCCTGGCCACTGGCCAGAGGGACATTATCTCCAAAAGCAGCACTAGAATATTGTCATGTTTTTTTATCCGCTACTCTCTTCTTGTAGGGATGGCCACAGCATGAAACATTTGGCAGTTGTTTCACGCACCTTCATGCCATTCCTGACTCAACCTGAGCTTGAACCTAGAACCTCAGATTTACGAGACCACTGCACTGACCTCCTGAGGCCCCCCACAGCAGCACTAGAATACAAAGGGTTTAATTCTCTCTGTTTGCAAGTATAGTTTACCTAATTAACTCATGTTTAATCTATCAGAACTAAATTCATTGTTACAAGCTGTCAGCCACAGAGAGTATCATCTTGCTAGCTGGAGAGAATTGTGTCTCATGTCCTAATTTAGCCATAGCAGGGTAAACATACTGCAGCCCCTGTTTTTTGTTGCAGGCAATGCATAGTTGAAGTTCATTCAGCTTGTTCTCCAGCAACCACATATTAGTGATTAAAATGATGGGAAAACAGCCAGTGGGACGCTGTGTTTAGCTTAGCCTGTAGCCCTCCCTGCTTCCTTTACTTTTGTTTACAGTTTGATGCCAACTATGAGCATATCTGCTCTCAGGTATGGTACATAGGCTCCAGTTTTCTGGAAATTTCAGGGGGGATTCAAATACTGTTGATAACTCTGCTTGAGTAGCGTCTTCTGATTTCTAAATGCTCCCGTTGGTGATATGTTGTTCAAGATATGATGAGTCAGGCAACACTGAACACACCGCTAACTTCATCCATCCATCCATTATCTTTACTAGATCTGGATTATTTCTTTTCGGATTGCGGGGGTCACTGGTGTCAATATCCAGCAGTCACTGTGTGAGAGGTGGGGGCCATCCTGTACAGGTCTCCAGTCCATCACAAGGACACATATAGAGACAAACAACCATTCACTCTCTCACTCAAGTAGAGACAATTTAGAGTTAGAGTCAGAGTCAGAGTTTCTTTATTGTCATTCGCACCTCATGTGGTACATGTGGTGGAGCGAAATTATGTACGCAGGGTCCCAGTTACATCCAACAATAAAATGTATAAGAAAAACAGTAATGACATCTAAGATATGAACTAAGAAAAACATCAACTAAATATACACTAAGCACTCATAACATAAAACATTGAACATCAGCACAAACATGAACATGAGTCTGTGAGCAGATGTGCACGCATGAACACATCAACATTGAAACAGATGAGCAGCAACATGAAACAGATCAGCAGCAACATGAAACAGATCAGCAGCAACATGATATGGTTTTTCACAGTGATTATTCTAGTTAGAGATTCATGAGTCTAACAGCCTCAGGGTAGAAGCTGTTCCTCAGTCTAGTGGTTCTACACTTAATGCTCCTTAACCTCCTTCCTGAGGGGAGTGGGGCAAAAAGTGTGTGTGCTGGGTGGGTGGGGTCCTTCATGATGCAGGTGGCCCTCTTCCTGCATCTGGAGGTGTAGATGTCTGTGATGGTGGGGAGACTGATTCCAACAGATTTCTGTGCAGCCTTCACCACTCTCTGCAAAGCTTTTCTTTCTGCAGCTGTGCAGCCTCCATGCCACACATTGATGCTCGAGCACAGGATGCTCTCCACTGCACACCTGTAGAAGGAGGTGAGGACTGAGCTTCCCAGACCAGCTCGCCTCAGCCGTCTGAGGAAGTAGAGTCTCTGATGAGCTTTCTTGATCAGGCTGGTGATGTTGTTGCTCCAGCTGAGGTTGTCATTCATGTGTACACCCAAGTACTTGTAGCTGGAGACCACTTCCACCGCAGATCCTCTTATGTTCAGGGGGGTGTAGGTGTTTTTGTTCCTTCTGAAGTCCACAATCATCTCCTTTGTCTTCTTCACATTGATGTGAAGGTTATTCTCTCTGCACCAGCTCTCCAGGTGTTCCACCTCTTGCCTGTAGCTGGACTCATCATTGTTTGTGATGCATCCCACCACCGCTGTATCATCTGCAAACTTTACAATGTGACAGCCTGGATGGGTAGCTGCACAATCATATGTGAGCAGAGTAAACAGAAGGGGGCTCAACACACATCCCTGAGGAGAGCCAGTGCTGAGGGTTATGGTGGAGGAGGAGAGGTTGTGGATCCTCACTAACTGTGGTCTGTTTGTTAAAAAGTCTAGTACCCAGTTGCAGATGGAGGGGCTTAGTCCTAGTGTGGATAGTTTGTCCATCAGGGTTTGGGGGATCATGGTGTTGAAGGCGGATGTGAAGTCCACAAAGAGCATACGGACGTAAGAGTTTTTCTGCTCCAGGTGGTTGAGTGCAGTGTGGACCACAGAGGAGATTGCATCCTCTGTTGATCGGTTCTCACGGTATGCGTACTGATGAGGGTCCTCGTTGATGTTGATGGTTGTTTTGATGTGAGTCATGACCAGTTTTTCGAAGCATTTAGCGACTATCGGGGTGAGGGCCACTGGCCTACTAATCAGTCTAGCATGCTTGTATGTTTTTGGTTTGTGGGAGGAAACTGGAGTACCTGGAGAAAATGCACACATGCACAAAAAGAACAGACAAACGCCACCCAGAAAGGTCCCCAGCTGGGATTTGAACCGGGACGACCTTCTGGCTGAGAGGCGGCAGCTCTATCAACTGAGCCACCGTGCTGCTTATTTGTACTTTGCTGCACAAAATTTAATTCTATTCAATTAAACATCTAAACTGTGTCAGAAGGTAAAATATTTATAATTAGAATGTTTTAAATGTGTAAATGTGCCAGTAGCAACAGAGAAATAATTAAAGTTTCTTTAGAGTTATTTTTGAAGCTAACATGGCTGAGCTGATCTGTTTTCTTCCTGCAGCTCCGAAGGTCACTCCAGCTAATGTGAGCGGAGGCGGAGGCAGTCGCTCTGAATTAGTCATCACTTGGGAGGTAAGCAAGCTCGCTCTGGACCCTCTCACCCATGGAGAAGGCAGCCAGACACCATTACTCTCTTTGGATCCAGGCCCCTGTTTCATTAATAACAAGCGAACGGCCTAACGTACGGCGTTTCATTTTTGGAACAAAGGCAATAACTGCTGCTGTCACCGTGGGGGAGAGACAAATGCTTTTGAGGTTTCAATAAGATAATTAAACTAAATGTTTTTTTCAAAGTCAAAACTTTTATTCCAGATCTTTTTCTTTTTCAGTTCTGCCTGGCTTTGTTTATTTCTGTCCCCCCATATCAATCAGGCTTCAAATGTTTGTTCAAGCTACTTGAAGTCATCCTGCCGTAAAATGATTCACACAATCAGTGTTGATGTTTAATACACAAAGCTTTAATTCATGTGAAACGATGGCTCAACAAAGCTTCTATTTGGACGCTGGCAAAATTCTCGAGGCATTTTACTTTGACACAAATGTAGGAATGAATGTGTGATTTTAACTTCTGTCTCATGACATTTATAAAAAACAATGTGATGTTTCTGCTGTATCATGCTTGCTAAAAAAACCTGAAGATTTGCATTTTAGATTTACAATTTTAATTTACATCTAGGCATAAGCATGGTAATTGATAAATGGACTGTACTTATATAGCACCTTTCTATCTTATCAAGATACTCAAAGCTCTTTACAACAGAATCTTTGCCTCATTTACCCATTCATACAGCCTTCTACTAGATCTGTACAAAGAATAATCAGAGCTTTATCACATTCATACACTGATGGGACACACATCGGCGGCAATGAGGGGTTCAGTGTCTTGCCCAGGAACACTTTTTTCATTCAACCTTTATTTGTACAGATACATCGCATTGAGCCTCGAAGACTCATTTACAAGTGAGACCTGTTTGCACAGACAAGAAGTGGTGAAAGTGACAACATAGGTTTTGGAGGCAAAAAAAATCCTAACATGCTCTTAATCTGTGGCTGAAGCTTAAAAGCATGCAAATGCAAATGCAAAAAAAAAAAAACCTTGCGCACAAGCACATAATGACGCCAACATTCTGGGGGTGGGGCTGGGGGTAACACAAGTGTGGTGAGCATGTCCAGAGACAACACAGAGGTACTGCAGAATCCAGATAAGAGTGGTAAATCACTCAAGTTCACATAGTTCCCTCTGGAGAGATCCATACACTCTCAGGGGTGCTGAGGACGACATCATATAGAATCCAGAGTCCTGAAATGATGACAGAATGCTTATTAAGGCGGTCCCCTCTGATTGGTCTGTAGACTTCCTCGGTGGGAGGGACAGAGCATCAAGGTTTACAGAGCTTCCAGGCAGATTAAGATAAGGTGGCCTGTCAAGGCCAGTCAGGGAACCGAATTCAGTTAAACACGATTGTTCTATTTCGTATAGGCGTCGCCCTTTAAGGCTCTCGCCAGTGGGTTTATCGCTTTGTGCACAGTGCTGAAAACTTTAGTCCACGCCCACCTGCTGTGTGGGCCTCACCCCCGGTACATGTAAAATACGGTGAGACTGGATAATCGGCTCCCATTTTTCTTCAGCCAGCTAGCTAGCACTGTCAGAAGAACAAAGAAGGAAAAGATTTCCAGCTTTGACCAACACAACTTTTGCTAAGGATGCCGGGTCTCCGCCACGCCAACCTCCTGCCGTCTCGTTGAGCTCTTCCTCCCCGAGGAGAAGCAGAGACGAGCAGCCTTGTTCAAGGTAAGTGCCGAGGAGTGTTTTTTCGTGGCGGGACTCTACCCGCTGGACGACGCCATCGCCTTTTCTAAAGTTTTTTCCTCGCAGTGAATTGGATGATTCCCTCGAAAAAGGCGATGTGGGCAGCAACTCCGCTGAGTGTTTTTTCCATGGCGGGACGCTACGCGCGGAATGACGCCATCACCTTTCTTTGACGCAGAGTCACGCAGTGAATTGAATGATTCCTTCGTGAAAGGCGATGCTGGAAACAACCTTGCTGCTCCTTCCCTCCTGGTGAGCATAGTGACGGAAGAAGAGCGGTCGAACGGATGCTCAGCCACCTCAGGTCTTCCCACGTCAGCGACCACACCGCTCCCAGCTGTCGGCGCCCTCGGAGCTGCCCGGCATAATCTAGGAGGTTGCTAACACAAAGGGACTTTCCGTCCCTCGCCTCCCTCCGCCCTGATCGGATGATCTGGCGGGAAGGTTTGACTCCACCCCAGCTCGTCACCCTGATCCCATCTGGCCTCGTTGTCCAGCTATGACATCACATTGGAACGAGGCTGCAGCTGGGCCCGGCAAGCTGAAGACATCCGTCTCCACCTTCGCCTCTGTCTCCAGAGTGGAGAGTTTTACCGATCTGTGTTTTTCCCTCGGTTCTCCCCCCTGGAGCCAAGCCTGGCAGAGGCGCTTTGGACAAAAACTTCCAGGATGGACCGGCAACCTAACCCTCCAGGAAATCATGACCAGAGGGTGACAAAGCTCTCCAACCGAGTTCACCAGTGCACATCCCAGGCGGTCGCGGTGAACAACAACAATGCTCTGCTGGCCTACAGCATCTTAAAGAGGCTGGAGGAAGCAGACCTGCTGGAGGAGACAAAGAGCTCTCTCTGTAAAGCCGCTGACATCTTCTTAAACATGTGCGCCACCTCTGTGGTCTGCCTATCCTGCATCGCCACCCGGATGACCATGATCCAGAGGACCACCTGGCTCCGCCTCTCACCATCCTTATCCGAGAGGCTGCAGAAAGTCCTGCTGGAAGTCCCCATCACCCCAGAGGCGCTGTTCAGAACAATTTCAGGACCATCCTCGAGAAATCACAGAGGTCCGAGGAGGTCTCAGATGTCTGGTGATGTCACAGTCCTCCTCCCGCCCCTCTGGCTGCTCGAGGGACCGCCTTGGCCAGCAACAGCAGCAGAGGTGCACCACAGCTGCGGCAGCGACTTCACGCTCCGCTCCTCCGCCAGCCCCCTCCACCAGGGAACAGCTCCTTGAGGGGAATGTGTGTGTTTTTTGATGATGTATGTTTTGAAATAAAACAGAAACATCTCTGAAAGTAAAGTTTCATCTGAGACTGTCAGATCAGCTGATCTCACAACTGCCTCTCTTCACACATTCCCCACACAGAATGAGCCAGTAACCTCTAAACAGCGTTTTAAGTGGCACCGCAGTTCAGTAGTATCACAAAACACTCATCTGCCACGTCAGCTAAAATTATGTTTTTTCAGCAGACCGAGTCCGATAAAATCCCTCGTTTTCAGCCAGAGCCCGTTTTTAATTTCTGCTGTTTTATGCCCACTCATAACGCAGTGGGAGTAAACGTTTTTCTCCGCGACAGCTGCAGCCTCCACCAAAATGGCGTCTCACTCAGAAAGTGCTCACGCCTCCTCTCAGTGTGTGCTGGCTTACCTCAGCTCTAATGTGAGACCGCAGCCTGGGCTCAGCACAGAGGCACACATACAGCCTTTTTTTCTGTCGGAGCCCCCCTCCCGGAGAATCTCCAGAGTGGATGATGGCAGTAAGGGTTTTTAGTCTGGTTGACTTTCATGAGAAACATAACACAACACAAAATGCATGCCCATTCTCTGAGCGTTACTCAGAGTGGCAGCGAGTGTGTTCCCTGGACAGATGGATGGACCGTCTGATCAGCAGGGGTTACACGCTAGAGTTCGCAGCTCAACCCCCACCGTTCAGAGGGATTATAGAGATGGTTCTGTCTTCTCCAGAACAGAGCTCGTCTTAACAGTCAGAAGTTCAAGAATTTCTGATGAAAAATGTGATTTCCAGAGTTCCCAATGGAGAGGAAAATACAGTTTTTTTTCCTCCCACTACTTCCTGGTTCTGAAAAAAAAAAACGGAGAGATGAGACCCATTCTCAACCTGTTCTTTTTCAGCAATTCAATCATGGGAGACAATTCCACATGCTGACAAACAACTGCTGGAGAACTTCACTAGAACAACTGGTTTTCACCTCCATAGATGTGTAGAGCGCATATTTTCACATTTTCCATCATTCTGAAACACCCCACGCACGTTCTCGAAATGCGTGGAGACAGCTCTACAGTCGTTACACATGGCAGGAATGAGAATTATTTTTATCTGTACAATCTGCTCTTATTAACTCGGTCCAGGTAGGAAGCAGTCACACAGACCAAAACGCTAGTGTTACACCTGCTAAACCTAGGGTTTTCTATAAACTGGGAAAAAGTTCAGTTCGTCCGTCCCAGATGATTGTTTATCTGGAAGTGGAGCTAAACTTAACCACAATGAGAGCCCGTTTATCACAGCTGAGAGCCGAAGCTCTGTCAGTTCAGCTCCGTCAGCTCAGCTCCGTCATGTCAAACCCTGCAGCATAGTGACAGTTCTGCCTGTCATGCGACTCCTGGGACAATGTCAGCGGCCCACATCGTGGTTCCGCTGAGCCTCCTTCACATGAGATGCCTTCAGAGATGGTTTGCCTGCCTGCGCATAGATCCTGTACACCAGAAGAGGCAGATTATCTTTGTGCCCCCCTCCGTGAGAACCGATCTGAATCACTGGGGAAAACCCCTCATTCTGTCAAAGGGAGTTCCCATCAGCAGGCCTACATCACACATCTCAGTTTTCACAGACGCGATCCTGTCAAGCTGGGAGGAATGTGTCTGTCCCAGGCAGTGGTAGTACATTGGCTGGACCACATGTCGCTTCACATAAATGTGCTAAAATGTTTTCATGGTCTGAAACGTGACTCAGCATTTTGCCTCCCTGCTGCGGGATCAGCATGTTCTGATCCACACAGACAACAAAGTGACGGCAGCTTACATAAACCATCAGGGAGGCGTGTGCTCAGCCCAACTGTTACGCATTGTGGATAATCTGTTGTATTGGGCACACAAAAACCTGCTCTCTATCAGAGCAGTGTACATTTCCAGTGTCCTGAACAGGGAAGCGGATATCATGTTGAGGTGCGGTCCCCGCCACAGAGACTGGAGCCTCCATCCCAAGCTGATCTCTTGGATTTGGAGCAGGTTTGGCTGAGCAGCAG